TGTACTTATGACCCCCGTCTGCAGAAGTGGGGAGAGGCCTAATCGGACATCTGAAACTCAGACAGTAAGGCCCAGCTGTACATACAAACACTACACACACGCACATAAATATAAATGACATAGTACTACACAATATAGAGCTTTTATAGGACTCAAGAAATCTGGGATTAGGCCACTAGCTTGCAGGATAAGGACCTTTCAGGCACAACAGCTAGATTATCCTGTTTCCACAATGCTCAAAGGAGCCAGCGGCTGTCAGGGTTCTGTGGCAGTCAGAACCTGCACAGGTGAGGAAGGAAAGTTTCCCGCCCTCACACAGGCCCTGGGTGATCTCTGGAGGCCTTTGTCTTGCCAGTGAGCCAGAGACTGGCTTCATTGTGGAGGCCTTGACCCTTCGCATGGGCCTACCCCAAAGTGCAGGACCTGCATACGTTATAGACAGCCCAGTGTACTCTAATGTGCATCCTCGGAGGCCTGTGTGTGTGGAGAATGCCCGTTGGGGGCCGGCCTCAGCACAAGCAGCCTCATGACCCTGAGCACATCAGGCTTTCTAAGCTTCAGTTTTCCCATCTGTAAAGTGGGAGCGATAACAGGACCAGTGCCGCTCTGTGGTTGTGAGATTCAAAGGAGTGTACATTCATGTTTTCATGAGGCTTGGGTGGAGGCTCCTCTGTGAGGAGTTATCAATGGCTAGCATTTTGATAGAGAAATGCTTGAGGAAGCAGGTACTTCGTCAGGAGACCCCCAAACCTTAGCTGATCTGCTGTCTTGTAGCACCTATAAAAGCTCTATATTGTGTAGTACTATGTCATTTATATTTATGTGTGTATGTGTAGTGTTTGTATGTACAGCTGGGCCTTACTGTCTGCAGCTTGACAATTAACAGTGAGGTTTCCTGGGATCTCCGAGCTCTTTCCCCCTGTACTGGCCCAGCACGGAAGGCCCATGGCTAACTGGAGTGGAGTGTGCTGAACGCCCACTTCCTCCACGCTGACCAGGGTGGATGGGCCCTGTGTCCCCACCCAGCTTCTTTCCTGTCCTCTTGTCATCCGCTTCCCCACTTCTGGACACCCATTCCCAGGTGTTGACTGTGCCTGTGCCCTGCCAGCCCCAAGATCAGGCCTCTGTAGCACCTGCTGACACACTTCTAACCTTCTAAGGATGGCAGCATTTTGCCCAGACATTTGCTTCCAGCGCTTTTGATGACAGATAATGAGGGTTCTCAGGGTAATTTCTGGAGGTGCATTTTGGTCCATCTGTTGACTTTCACTTTTGAAAGTGTGGTTTGACTGTGAGTAAAGCTGTTGGTTGCCATCCTGTATACATCCCTCTGGGTTTCGGAATTTGGAACCTACCACACCGGGGAAAGCACATTTTAACATTTTCAAGTCTAAATTTTGCTTTTTTCAGTGCTTTCAAAATATTGATCTGTGAGTCTGTCCGTGGGTGGGGTACACGGCCCAGCAATATGCCGGCCGCCTTGGCGCTGGGCTGTGCTCTGGTCAGGGGGAAGCTCGTGCACATTTTCTGCCCCTCCCTGCCTCCCCCCCCCAGCTGGTGCAAGTACCTGCAATAATGGTTCTTGGGGTCACTTCTAAACAGCTCGGGCAGTTGCTGGCCCTGCCGCCTGCACGCGCCACACCCTGCAGCAACACATGCCTATGTGGCATGCTGCACACGAACTTCTTAGACATTTGGATAACTGTGCTTCAATATTGTTGATTTCATTGGTTGTTCTAGTTCATTCATTTTCTGCTTTTGAAACCCTTATTCCCAACCGGGGCTGCAAAGGCAGAGCCAGAAGCCAAGGCTTCCGTGGAACAAAAGGGCTGAAAAGCAAACCCTGGCCTCAAGGGACAAAAACAAACGGAGCCCAGATATAAGTCAGAACTACGAAACGCAAAAACGATTCTATCAGTGACCCTGTTAGCCCCTGGTCACACCCTCGAGAGACCTCATTGTCCTCAAGATAATGTCTGAACAGTTGGGGCCACTCTGGGGCCTCCTGGTGGCGGCACCCAGGAGGCTGCAGTTAGATGAGCGGTGCTCTCAGAGGACCCGGGCCTCCTTGGAGACCGAGGCCACCTTCCTGCCCAGTGCCGCGGGCAGAGTGACCGTTGTCACACTGTGGTGAGGAACTGCCGTCGTTCAGGGAGAAAGCCCAGCGGTGCTCTGACTGGGCTCTCAGGACCCAGCTGTGCTGCCTCCTAGGGAGGACCCGGAGTCCTCCAGGACATGCTGAGAGACTTCCGGAGACCCAGCCCTCTCCCCTGTCTCTGCATCTGGAAACTCCACTCGGGCTCTGCCTGCAGGGTCTCCACACTCCCATGTATTGCCCTGGGCCTGTAGTCATTAAAAGGGGTGGGGTGGGGTGAGGGTCTGTGTGAGTGTGTGGGGGGGGGTGTTTGCAGCGTGGCCTCACTTCTTTCCAGCTGCTTGTCCTTGGGCAAAGCTACTTAGTAACTCTGGTTCCTTATCTGAATAAAGGGAGCTAACTGTAGCCTGACCTCATCGGGATGAAGAACCCCAGAACTGCAGTGATCACTGTAAAGTCTTCTCATCAACCTTGAGCATGGGGTGCTTTCGGGGCTCCCCAAATGAGGCACAGCCCTTATGCCTAAGTGGAGTATGTGGGCCTAGGTTGAGGGCAGGGGCCCACATGGGCAACTGTTGAAGATACAAGCTGGCAGCTTCAGTAAAACTCTCCAGAGACGACTTCCAGATTAGAATAGAAAACGTTTTTCTTCTTCTGTATACAGGCAGCTGATGCCTTTTAATGCCATTAAGTGCTAAGAAGGAGGAAGGGATCGGTTTGTTTGAAAGGATGTAGAAGATGGGAGAGGAGGAGCCTTCAGCCGAGGATTGGCCAGTCCATCGTCTGGACACTGTCTGCTTCAAGCCTCAGTCTTCAGTGAGAGAAGGGTGTTGAAGGCATTAGTTTCTTCCCATGAAGAATGAACTGGCACATCTTTTGATAAATGAGCCTGGGCTCTCCATGCATTGCTGTTCAGAGTTGAGAATTCTTTACTCTCATAGGGAGCTACCTGTGCACCTGGGCAGTTACCTGTGTGCTTGGAAAATGCCTGTGTACCTGCATGAGACCCATGCCCTTGGGGCGCAATCTGTGTGGTCAGTGGGGAAACAGCAAGGGCCAGATAGACTAGGAGCTTGGTATGTAGGAATAATCCCTAAAGGACCCTACTTAGGAATCTATAGTCAAAAAGGCTTTCCACCTCTCCTCACCTCCACTGGGCCCAGGTGGAAGCACACAAGTAGGAGCACACAAGATTATGGAGGGCGGGGTACTTACCTACCTCTTCCTTCTTGGGGATCTCTGACCTGTGACTGGCCTGTGGTTTCAGAAACATCAAACCGTCCTTCAGAACAGGTGTGTTAGGGAAAGAAGGCCAGGCAGCCCAGAAGCACGAACTTCCCAGGTTAGTTTGTCTTTACCCGACAAGTTTCAGAAAGCGTGCAGGGGAGAAGAGTCGCCCTTGGTACGTTCATGTGAGTGATAAAGGAGTCAAGTCATAAAGGACCCTTTACTGGGGTGAACATCTGTGAAGTAAAGAGACCAGGTTCAGCCATTGCCTCCCACACCCCAGGCTGGGGCCGCAGCCCTCCTTGGAGACTTGATCACTTTCCAGAAGAAAGCGACCATCTGTCTAGGCTGGTGTGTGTGTAGGGGGGCGCTCAGGGGCCTGACTAATGAGGGATTCTTGGAAATATTTTACCTTTATGAGTTAAAATATTTAAAAAACAAGAAAACTATAAAGTCATTCTTTTAGTCATTTTAAGAGCCCTGTTGTGGGATTGTAATGTAGTTAGAACTTGAAAAACACAGTAAACCAGATTGCATCATGGACACAACCAACCCCCTCCTTCATCCTCCCCATGCCCCCCACCTCCGTTGCTGTGCCCCTGTGCAGACAGGCCAGAGACCCCTGCAGGGCGGTGGGACAGGTGGTCCATCCCCTCGGTGAGCTACGGGCTGGGGACGGATCCCCCAAACCTCCCCGAAGCTCATGCCAGCCACACCGCAGGCACCCTTTGGGGTGCTGGCCTCCTCCTCAGAGAGCAAGAGAATGTTTCTAAATAGAAGAAAAGCTATTTTAAGAATTATTTATGTTTTCTGGGTCCTGGACATGATGCACTGGCTCTTGGGATGTCTGATTTTGCATTTGTTCCCTGGCTCTGGACACACGGCCTGCCGCTAGCTCTGCATGCTCACTCGCCCTGGCCAGTGGGTGAAGGTTCCCAAAGACCCCACTTAGCACAGCAGGGCGGGAAGTAAAATCCCCACCCTGAGTTCGGCAGCTCACGCTTGTCTCTGGGGAGCCGCGTGCCGTGGCCGGGCAGTCTCTGAGGGTGGTTTTGGGTGTGGTTGGAGATGCTGAGTGGCACACTGGTCTGGTTACAGTCGCTTGGAGACCAGGGCAGAACCTGCCTCCCGACAGGCACCCCCTTATCCATCTCTAGTGTCCTCTACCAAATCTCCTCCCGGGAGCTCTTTACATTCTGCTTGAGGGGTCCATTTCGCAACCAAATGTAGGAAACGAAAAGGCCGGGTCAGGCAGGCTGCAGAGGACTGCGATCCTAACCAGAGGCCTGAGCTCCTGCAGTTGGTATCCCGGAACACCCTCAGGCGAAAGGTGCTTTCTTTGGGGAAAAAATACAGAAAACCAGCTGGCAAGACCTGTAGCCTGTTCTAGTCGAATTAGAGAGAAGTGTTCACCATCTATTATTACTGCAGATCTTTGAGTGAGATCCCATTTTTGAAAAACCCAAACAGCAAACCCTTGGAGGCACAGAAATGGGTCAGTAAGGTTGAGTCTTGGCAGCGGGATGCTGAAGGGTTTTTGTTTCCTTTTTTTGTAACTTACGTGGGCTCATTTCCCCTGGTGAGCCCTCATTGTTGCTAAACAAAGCTGAGCTGCTCCTTGTGCAGGGAGGCAGGTTCAGGCAAGGGCACTTCCCAAGCAGTGTGCTTTCTCTTCCAGTGACATATTTGATGCCATGTTCCCTGTCACTCACATCGCCGGGGAGACCGTCATCCAGCAAGGTACAGCCCCTTCTCTTTCTTTGAGCCAAAGGCAATCGGGGGATCACAGACCACTCACTGAAAAATATATTAACAGCAAACTCTCATTGTCCTTGGCGAAAGTCACTGTGATGCCTAACAGATCAGCCCGGTAGGTTTCCATAACCTTGTCAACCACAAATGTTGAACTGTACTGGAAGCTGGAACTGTGCTAACGGGCCAGCTCAGGCGCTTATACGCAAAACCTTGAGGTCAGGTGAGGAGCCTGTCACTGGCTTGACCGCAGGCACCGTGTCCCTGTGCAGGTCAAGCAGATCGTCCCTGATGAGTTCCTTATATATGTTCAGTTTCTGTTTTAAATAAGCAGATGAGACCCAGGGTTGACAATGGTCGGTGTCAAATTGCAATGTAGAGATATTATCTAGGAGAAAAACAGAAGCTCTCCACTCACCTCCTTTGCAATATTTGCATTTTTTGTTTTGCTACAGGGGATGAAGGAGATAACTTCTATGTCATTGATCAAGGAGAAGTAGATGTAAGTATCTGTGCACTGATTTTGGGAATTGGCTCCTCTGTGCTTGTCTGGTTTTGAAGACTTTGCAGTCACTGATCAGCTCTGGTGGAGAAGAACTTCTGACTCGCGTGTTTCTAATGTTTTAATCCAGAAAGTAATACATTGTATTTAAAAGATAACTTCAAATACTGCAGCATGTTTAGAAATTGGTTCTGCATCCCCACTGCAGCCCTGGGTGGTACAGCTTGACCAGAATCTGTCTGAGTCAGCACCTGTGACCCCTAAGCTTGCCCAGCCACGTGGATGTCAGCACTTTTCCAAGTGGGCAGCAGTTAGCTGTCTGATCAGAGCTGCTGATTGCATACCCAGCATAAGGTCTTGTTCTTAGAATGTCTGAGCTTTGCCCCTCTTGCAGAATACCATGCTCTCCTGTGTCCTTCCGGCTCATTTTCACCTGTCTCTACTCTCCTGTGGGGCCACTGAGATGGCAAAGTCATGCAGGTGCAGAAAGGGGTACCTCTGCTTCAAGTCCCTGTACAAGTCCGGCCCCTGCTGAATAGCATTGGGCATCCTCCTTCCCGCCAGCTAATTCCCCGGGGACCTGAGTGTATCACAGCTGGCTTGGAGCCCTCGGAGTCTCTGAGTCAGGCCAAGTCCTTTGCCCTGCAGGAAGGGGCTTTGGTTCCAGAAATGTGCTTTGCTGCTCAGGGCCGTTGCCTGTGCTGGTCCCCTCTGCAACGCCATCCCAGCAACAACCTCAGCTTGGGAGTTAGCAAGAAAATGCCATGATTTTCCCTGTGGCACCAGTATGCAGACTGGAGACCCCATGGCAGGGACTGTGTGTGACCTGGCATCTGTGGGGTCTGGGACACAGTCAGGCTCTGTCCTCGCGGCCCCACATGCTGCCACCTCCAGTTGCCCTCCCGTCCCACCCAGGCCTCAGGCAGCAGCACAGAGGACGCGGTGCCCTCCCCTTACAGAGGCCTGCCGGTCGGGGCTTTCATCCTGCCCCTGCTGTGGCCTCCCCTGCTGCTCTGTGACGATGCCAGCCCTGGTTGTGCTGCCCAGAGACTTATTCTGGTCCTGTCCTCTGGCACAGGCTGAACTATTTTGGGAGTGGGCATTTCTTATTGATTTCCCAGCAGCCTACCTGTGTTCGCCATCATCACTGTCTGGGAACCAGGGGAGACCTGAGGTCAGAATCTAGCTGGAAACACAGGAAATGACTCAGTTGGGGCCATAGGCACATGCGGAGCCACTTGAGGGCTCTCCATTCTAAGCTCCATCCTGCGCCTGGGCCACAGGAACAGACTTGTGTTGGGTGGAGTGTCTGTCTCCCACCAAGGAAGGAAACTGAGGCAGGAGCCGAAGGCTGGGGCTGCTGCAGCTGCAGAGGAAGTGTGCGGAGGAGGGAGGATTAGAAGGCAGTGATGTTTCCAGCCCCGGGCTCAGGCTGCCAGGCCACAGAACTAGCGCCTGCAGGCTTTGTTTTGGGTTAAAAAAAAACACCAACCCAGGAAATAGAGAAGACAAGACGGGATGCGGCCAGCATCCCGCGGGCATTGTCCTTGGCCTTGGCTGTCACAGAGCTTAGGGACAGCGCTGGCTCCTGGGATGCTGTGGGGCCAGCTCTTCTGGTTGTGCTCCAGGTCTTCCTACCTGACTCCCAGCTCTCACGACGTGGCCCCTTTACACCTCACGCTTCGTCCTCGTTGCTCTCCAGCTTCACCCTCTGCCCGCTTCCCTTTGTTTTCTTGCTTAAGTGTTTATTGAGCTCTTGCTGCATGCTTGGCTCCAAAAACACCTGTGTATAGGGGTGTGTGTGTGAGCATTCTGGCCCCACAGAGGGATCACAGGTAGTGGGGAGGATGGACAGGAAGCAGGAAATTCCAGGATGAGTGTCTTGCCTCCAGGTCCTCTTTCCTCAATCTGACCTGTGCTGTGGACTCCTATGCATCCTTCAAGACCCTGCCCTACCTCAGCCCTTCCCCTCCCCTCCCATCCCTCCAGGTGGCGCCACTTCAGTGTTTGTGTGTGTGTGTGTGTGTGTGTGTGTGTGTGCGCGCTTGCTTGCTTGCTCTCTCTCCTGTGCTCACCTGCTGACACTCCCCCCACCTAACACCTCCCCCCCAACCCCAGCCAGGAACACTACTCAGATTTTGGCTCTTGCATTTCCTCCCCCGAGATGTTCTCCCCTTTTCTATGTCCATTGAAATTACCTGAATCTTCCATTAAATTCCAAAGACATCTTCAAAATGCCAGCTGGAATCACCAGTTTGGGACAGAAAGTCGGCGCTTTGGAGAGTTGACGGGGGGGTAGCCGGGGTGGGTGGTGGGGAATGGTGCAGGGAAGCCAGTCTTTTGTCCATTTGGGGGTGGTCCCCAGAAGTCCCCTTCTCCTCTTGTCCTGGTGTGACTCAATGTCTTCTCATGGGCTGCCCCACCTCCTCATGTGTCTGAGCCCATCCTGGCATCTGTCCAGACTTACTCAAGTCCGAAAGGATGGCACATTCCTTGCCAACTGTGAAGTACCACGTTGTCCCTCTCCACTGACCCCCAGAACCTCATCTGTCACTGGAAGAAGCTGACTAGCTTGGCCTCTTCAGAGCAGGAGTGCCCATCCCAGCAGCACTCTCCTGGCCCTGATGGAACCTTACAGAGCCAGGCCCTGGGGCCTCACCAGGATAAGGATCAGGGCTGATGCGGGAGTCAAAGGGCAGTTCCAGCCTCCCTTAGCCAACTGCCCGTCCCTGGCTGCCTTTCAATGCCAAAGTGTTGTAGCTGGCTTCTCTCCAGGCCGGGGATTCGTGGAGGCAGTTTTGGAAAGGAAAAAGTGAAGTCACCTTCTCCACACCAGAACCCCCCAAATATATTGTCTTGGCAGATCCGGGCTTCCCCACCCCCACTGCCCGCCCCTGCAGCCGCGGTTCACGTACAAAGGCAGCTTGAAGGCTCCCTGAACCCAGCGTGCCAGAGCCAGGATGTCTGGGCACCGTGGGCAGACCCCCGCTTCCTGACTGCAGTCAGGCCCCCAAATGGAACAAGGCGGTGACTTATGGGGCCATCCTGTGATACCCATGTATGCTGTGCGCCTCCATCAGTCTCCGTGGATCTTCCAGCCAGGACGGGTGGGCGTCAGGGAGTGCCCAGGTGGGGGGCAGAGTGAGGGGGCACTCCTGTGATGTGGGAGGCACTGGGAGCACAGGGTAAACACCCAGGGTCAGCAGAGCAGCAGCGTGGGTGAAGGCCACATTTAAAGGAATCAAAGATGCTCAGTAAGGAATCTGGAATGAAAAAGTGGCATGTTGGCTCGCCGGTGAGTTATGGGGATATATATTATAATAATGACTGTTATTACTGCTCCCGGGTAGGAAATTGCAGCAACTCCTCAGAGGCCCGCGAGCACATGTTTGCTCATTTCTGTAAACTACCTTCCAGGGGGCAGGGGGTGACCTGGCTGGGGCATGTGGACCATCAAGGCTGGTTGTGAGGTTTCTGAGCGTGGCTTTTAAGGCTGGAGTGATACCAGTTTCATTAGGGCAGGAGGAAGGGGGCCCATGCCCAGCCTCAGTATTGCCCCAACAGGCCCACAGCCCAGAAGGGACCACACCTTCTGGTCCTCCAAGGCTGGGGTTCGGTGTGAACACCCTCAGCCTCCACCCCCTTCTGCAGAGGACACTGCCCTCAGATCAGGGGCAGCCAGGTGACTGAACGCCAAAAGCATCAGGTTTGGTTCAATTATGGTTTTTCAGAGAGACGCAAAAAGTGCCTGCTGCTGCTGTGTGTGTGTGTGTGTGTGTGTGTGGCCAAGAGCTATAATCCATTTTTCTAAATATAAAAATATCCTCCAACTTTTTTTATTCGTGGAACATAGCATTTTTACTTGAAAGGATACTCAGCTGCCCATTTCATGACTCAGGAACTGAGCTCCCTTGAAGGCTGGTTCCTTCCTAATCCTGGCAGGCCTTTGTTGTGCAGGGCCCTTCCTTAATACAAGATCACCCCATCCCTGCCCCGCCCCTGCCCGGCCCTACGTTGCACACCAGGCCTCTGTTCCCAGCCTTCAAAGGTGGGAGTGACCTCTGAGCTGCCCAGCGTCCTCAGGGACAGGATGTTCAGGGCTTGGCCATCTGGCTCCATAGTTGAGGCCCTTTGTTATTCAGTGCTTGGGGTTCTTTGGTTTTTTGGTTTTCTGAATTGGTAAAATATAGCAAAATGTTCACTTAGCTGTTTTTAAGTGCAGTTCTCTGGCATTAAGTACATTCAGATTGCTGCAGAGTCACTCACCACTTCTCAGCTGCAGAACTGTGTCTGTCTTCCCAAAATGAGACATCGAACATTAACCCCTCCCTCGCCTCCTCCAGCCCCTGTCGTTTATTCTCCACTTTCTGTCTCTGAGTTTGGTAACTCCAGAGACCACACATGAGTGGAATCACGCAGAGTTTGTCCTCTTATGTCCGGTTTATTTCTCTGAGGGTGTCTTCAGTTATAGCTGTGTCAGAATTTCCTTCCTTTTTAAGGCTGAATAGTATTCCGTTGTATGACCGGACCACGTTTTCTTTATCCATTCATCCATCAGTGGACATTGCATTGTTTGCACCTTTTGGCGATTGTGAGCAGTGCTGCTGTGAATGTGGATGCTCCAGTTTCTGTGCTGTACAAGAAAGGCCTGCTTCCAGAGTGTTCTCTGCCACCGGGAGGTGAAACAGAACCCACATGGCTGTTCGACATGACCAGGTTCAGGGGAGAATTGGAATTTCCTGACTGAACAGGGAGAGGCAGGTGGACCTGGGGAAGCTGTGCCATCCAGGGTGGATGTGGGGAAGCTGATTTACCTGGTCACAGGTGCTCACTCATCTGCATGGATGCTCTCCTGCTTTTTGTGGCAAGAGCCTGGGAAGACAGCAGGGGATGGGCCATTAGCTTTTTGTCACCACTTTTGCAGCAAAAACAACAGCCTTGTGGCATGCCTGAGTTACTTCTCTGAGCAGGCTGTGACAAGTCAGCGCTGGGCCGAGTGTGAAATGAAGGTGGGGGTGCTGAGGCCTCACAGCCCCTCTGTCTCCATTAACTGGGTAACTCGGGTGACTGGATTTTGTCTCCACTTACCCAGACAGCTCTTTCCACCCCATGTAGCTTTTCTGTGCAGTCAGGTTTGTTGAGCTCAAATGTCCCGGGTTGGGGGCCAGTTGCGGCAGTAGTCTGGGTACAGGGGAGAGGCTCAACCCCAGCTACCTGTCTGCTGGATTTTGGGGAGGAGGTCATGGCTGAGTAGACGATGCTCACTCAGCTCTGGTCTGCATCTGAAGTCCCTGTAACAGTAAATACCCAGTCTACCTGGGACCTCAGCGCTGCTTTTGTTAAGCAGCTACACATGCCTTCAGTCGCTGTGCCCACCTCCATCCCCGCCAAAGTTGGGGTCAGACTCTGCAGCTTGGCTCTGTGTCAGAATCTGTGTGAAAATGCCCCAACCCCTGGGAGTCTGATTCAGGAGATAAATGAGCATTCTGCAAGTTGCTGGGCGAGCCTCGTGCCGGTCCACACACCACCTGCTGAGTGCCTGGGTCGAGGGCCATGTTTCCACGTTGAGTGTCAGTGCTGGACCTCGTCTCTCCCTCGATGCCTCCCGCTGGCTCCCTGGGCTGTGCTCCACACCGCACCAGAGGGAGCATCACAGATGTGAGCAGATGACATCGGTCTCCAGGGACCTCCTTAGCTTCCAGAATGACACCCTCGTCTTCCTTCCTGCCTTCCTGCCCCTGTGGCACCTTTTCCCCTCGGTCTTCTTGCAGCAGCCGACACCCTCAATCACCAGCCCTCCCACGGGGCCTTGGCTTGTCCAGACATCCTGTCTTGCTGCCTGACGCTTTCTTCCCCCAAGTCTCTGCGCTGATGGGCCCTGGCCATTCGGGGTTGGCCTCAAACCACCCTCTGGGAAGTGACCTCTCTGAGCCCCATCCCGGTGGTGGTCTTTTTCTTTGGATTCTCTGTCTCACTTTCTCAAAGGCTTAGACCTTTTACCATGACCGTGTGTCTACGTAGTGATTTGCCTCCAGCTTATCCCTTGGTTGTTGATAAGTCCCCTGTAAGCAGGCACTCTCGTGGTTGAACCCCAGCAGTTAAGTACACTGTGGGCTCCGGGGGGCAGTTAGTACACATGGGGTGAAAGACTGAGTGAAAGACTGAGTGAGTGAGTGAGTGAGTGAGTGAGTGAGTGAGTGAGTGAACGAACACACAGCAGTCAAAACACTGCAGTGCATGGTAGGGATGTAGCCTGCCTTGGAGTGGGGGATGGGGTGGGGTGGGGGAGGGGTCCGACCATTTTTCTTTTAAAAATAGAAGAAAAAACAAAAAATGACACAAAGCAAGAAGGCGCCCCTTTGGGTGCCAGCGGGGTGGGGCTAGCTTCGCACCAGCGTGGTAACAGAGGCCAGTGTCCCGAGAAGGATGGGCCCTTTGTGTTCTGCGGGGCAGCCCGGCCTGGCTGAGGCTGTGCACAATGGTTTTCTCTGACGCTGCGGAGGGAGCTGGGCTTCTTGGTGAGGAAAGGGTGCTCATGCCCCCCCATGCCATGATCTCTGGGCCTTAGAACCCCTTGGCCATGTCCACAGGTGCCTTAGTGAAATTGGGGGTTCAGCCACCAGGGGTTGGCTCTGAGAAGACACCCTCTCTCTCTTTCCTGGGTCCCTGTGCGCTTGGAGGGGGCTGGGAGCCCAGTCTGCTTCCCACCTTGGCAGCCAGCAAGGAGGCGGCTTTCCCGTTTCCCTAAAGTGCGAGTGGAGAGCGTAGCAATCCCTGTCCGCGGCTCGGGCAGGATTACTCTGTGGAGGGTGTTGGCGGAGGGCTGGTACCAGCACTGGACGCCTGGCTCAACAGCATTTACCACAACCCGCTGAGGCTGAGCCAGCGTGCACCCTGCCCCGCGGCAGATGCCACCAGACATTTGCCTAGAAGTGAGAGAGGGTTGGTGCAGCTGTGTCACAGTCCAGAACTAGATATGGCCCATGACCTGTGATGCCCAGAATGGATTTCTGTTACGTGGCCATCACGAAAACCTAAGCCTGCAGCTCACGGACACGCAGAATGACGAAGATGTGTGTGATCTCCTTGAGAACTGGGATGACTAATCTTTAGGGCCCTGTCACCTGGGATGGCAATGGGAACGCTTAGTTTCTTGATCTGAATGATGGAAACCCTTAGGATCTGGGCCTGTTACGAGTTATACTTAACAGGATTTTACAAATACCCCAGCACAGTGGGCAGAGGGCGGCTGTGAGCAGGTAACAGCAGAATGCAAGAGGCAGGGGTTCACCACGAGCATTCTGGGAGAGCTGGACGCCCTCTCTGCACGTCCCTCCATGCCTGTGGCACAGCCAGGTGGGCAGGACAGATGTTCCTGGTTCCTGGGAATCAGGAGGGAGGGCCTTGTCCAGGGGGCGCTGGGTTTCTTTTCCAGTTTACCTGACTTCCTTCCAGGAACGCTTGGCAGGCAGCGGTGAGCTCAGGCGGGAGCCGTGGCACCCCAGGCTCAGCCTGGGCGGTGGAGCTGGCAGGGTCCCTGGGCAGGCAGAGGCAGCAAGTGCAGACACAGGTCCCTCTCAGCTGGGCTCTGCCTTTGCACACCTGTCTCCTCTGTTTCCCTTGAGACTTTGCAGTCGACGATGTCTTCCCTGACCCTCGCTTGCACGAATGATGGAGTTATCACCTGCATGGTATTTGCTTGCAGAGAGGCAATTCTGTGCATCAGTCTTTACCAAGATAATGAGTCATTGATTTCAATAAGAATCGCTTCCATGATTCATCACAATCCATTCTTTCCTGATATGGACCCATTTTGCCAATGGGAACCATTCTTTAAGCTCATTGACGTGCTGAGGGAAAAAAGAGCGCTTTGTGTCAATTATAGTAACCGAATCTGCAGCAGCATGGCATAATAAACAATCTGCACTATTCTTGCACGGATCCGGAACGTGCACGTCAATGCATAGTAGGCACACTTGGGGGGGAGGGCGCAGCCCCTGCACACTGAAAGGGAATCTTGTCCCGGGTGCTTCTTTCTCCACACACACAGCTCCTCAGTAGTGCCGGGCTTCATACCCCGTCCCAGGGCGTCTGGAGCTGTCCGTGGAGGAACAGTCTGGGAAAGAGCATTGCCCTTAAGACCTTGTTAGCATGGCTGCTTCTGGGCCTGGAGCAGGGTGTGCTGGTGGTGGTCGAGGTGAGGGACCCCAGCTGTCAGGTGCAGGCATTGAGTGGCCAGAGGAAGGGGCAGTTTATGCATGAAGAAGGCAGAGCTGGAGGTGCTGCTGCCTGCCTGGGGGCAGAGACCAGAGCAGGGATGCCCGTGGGGAGCATCAAGCCCAGCTCACTGGTGCACTTAGGGACACTGATCCCCATTAGTGAGATCTAAAGTTGACAAGGAATCATATTAAAAGCCTACCAGGGAGGCAGGCGAGGGCTTGCTTTGCTGGGACTCTGGAATGATGCTTGCATCTTCATCCTTGGCCAGTCTTACTGGCACTGACAATGCAGGACCTGCCTGTCTTTGAGGCTTGGCTATAAGGGCTAGAAGATGCCACTGGCCTGTCCAGTTGCTGCTCTGAGAAAGTTTGAAATGAGGGGTGTACAGACCCCACCAGGGCAAAGGGGGAGGCTCGGGAGTTCTGCCCACAAGCAGAGAGCCCGGGGGCTGCAGTGGGCTCTCCCTCCTTGCAGGAGGCCTGCTGAATGGTGCAGAGGGAAACGTGACCCACGGGCTCCCTGACCTTCCTTCTCCTGTCCCCTGAAGGTATATGTGAATGGTGAGTGGGTGACCAGCATCAGCGAGGGAGGCAGTTTTGGGGAGCTGGCTTTGATCTACGGCACCCCCAGGGCAGCGACGGTGAAAGCCAAGACCGACCTCAAGCTCTGGGGCATCGACCGGGACAGCTACCGGCGCATTCTCATGGTGAGCTTCCTGCGGTCGGCACCTGCCAAGCCTCTCCCTGTATAGGGCATGTGAGGCAGGTAGAACGTGTGGGAAGGATTCTGGGAACTCCTTCAAAGGCATCTGGGAAGTCCCTTTTGTCTTCCTCCCTCCCTTTCTGGAATGGGGGGTGGTCTCCGTGATTGGAACTCCAGCTGCCATCAGGGACCATCGTGTGCACAGAGCAGCAAAGAGGGCTGTAGTGTAGACCTGGGAAGCCCCAGGAGCGGGCTTCTCGAAAGGGAGTCCCGCGGCCGGCCGGCGCAACCCTGAGTCAGACCAATGGGGCTAGATCCCAAGCCAGGCCCATCATCAGGGAAGGATTCGCGGGAAACCAGGCTTTGCGAATGAAGCCCACTCGTTCATTCCTCCAGCCTCAGTGGGTGGTGGAGCAAAGAGATGCTGGTAGCTTGGTAGCCTGGAGGGATACTGTACAGTGGGACCGCTTGCCTCTCCCTTCTGTTGGGATGGATCCTGGAGCTTTAAACCACATTGGTCTAGATTTCCTCGGGTCTATAGCCTATAGCCACTGTATAGCTGGTATGGTGCGTCCGTGGGCACACGGCCAGGTCCACTGCGGCTTGCTGGGATGGTGCTTGTGGATGGCAGGGAGGTGGTTGTGGGTGGGGAGCACCCCAGGGGTCACCGTTGCCACAGGGGCTTCAGTCACAACTGTGCCCCTGCTGGGGTGTCTGTGCAGAGAGTGACCTTATTCTCTGAAAACCAGCCTGGGGTGGAGCAGACCTGCTGGAGGAATGGCCTGGCTCCAGGCTCGGGGCCCCCACCCCTGCTGCCTTGTGGAAATTAAGTATACAACTGGGAAAGACAAAGTTTGGGGCAAGTCGGGGGCCATCCTGTGAGGGGGAGAGTCCCACAGTGACTCATTCTGGAAGGATAGAGGGAAAATAAAATTTCTGGGCTGCCCACGCTGTCTGGAGGAATCTCCTCATAGGTCGCGGGCAGAGACTGGGGACAAGTGCCTCTCTTGGGAAGTCCCGCTACTTGGCCCTCTGTGCTCACCCAGTGGTGGCGGGTTCTGGCCTATTCGGAGCCGACTGGTTGGTATGGGGTGCCTGGCAGTGGTGGGCGGTCGCCAAGGGCAGCTCCAGGGGTGCACTTTGATGGTGGGGTTTGCGCAGAGTCAGCACCTTTGGGTCTTGCTCAGAACAGGAGGCTGACGGCAGGACCCTGGCAACAGGTGAGCATGTGACCTAAGACCTTTGGCCTCTCCTCATGCCCCTCTCCTGGGGTGGCCCCATGACTGGGGCTGAACCTGAACCTCTCTGTGCTCACTGCCACCTGTCCAGCAGGGCCTCAGTTGCTCTTGAAGGTCAGCATGGGCATACCGTGTGCTAAGAGAGGGCGATGGTTTGAGGTCGCTGGATAGGAGGCTGGTGGAAATTCGGAGCATGAGCTCAAACACAGGCAAGTCTGGAGAACAAGTCCTGGTCCCAGTGGCCCCATGTGAGCGTACCAGAGGGAGCCAGCGAATGGTGTGTGTCCTGGTGGCTTCTTGCTCCTGCACTTAGCCAGCATGGAGATCACCCACCACGTGCCAGGTCCATCGGATGTGGCCGCAGTGGGGAAAGCAGTGCAGTACCCCCATTCATTTGGAGACAGAATCCTAGTGCAGCGGCCGTTCTGTCTCAGACCTGCTAACCCCGTCGTCACTGCTGGGAGAGACACTGTCTGTCCTGTGGGAGGGGCATGGCAGTTTTGGGACAATGAAGAGGAGGCAGCATTTCCTGCATCCTCTGAATGCACCTGGTCCCCGGGCTCCAGAAGCCCCTATTTCTCTCCATTGTCCACACTGAGTCCATCTTGGTTGTGGGATTTTTGTGGTCGGAACCTTATATTCGGGGAAGTTCCCAAACCACTGAGGGAGCAGGCGCTTCCTCTGTTTTAATTCTGGATCCCTGGGCACTAAGAATAGTGGCAACTGTGCTCAGAGTCTGCAGAGTCCCATGTGTCTTGGGAGAGAAAATGACAGAGCGGCTACCACGGAAGGGTGTGTCTTGCAGGAATGCATCCGTTTTTACATCAGTCCTTGATTTTGGCAGAATCGGTGCCTCACCCTGCCAATGGGCCTGCCATTGCACTCAACTGGCAGATGCCATCGGTGTCTCCAGAGGGAGGGGCCCTCCCAGGATATTTGCTCAGATCAGGTTGTTGGAATCCCAGAATGTCTGATCCAGAAGGTTCTTCCCCCCGCCACTCTGGATGGTACAGAGGCCAGAATGGTGCTCAGCAAGGCTAACCCCCTGCTCACCTGCCTCAAAGGAGCCAAACACAATCATTGAGCTGACATTGGTCCGATAACAGCAATGTGTCATCTCTGATCCCCCCAACCCTCCCTAACCCCTGCCTTGGCTTTTTTTTTTAGTTCTCTGTAGCTCTGGGCAAGGCTGGTGAGAAAACAGTTGCAAGTCTCAATTTCAGAATCTATAAGGGATCTAATCTATCAGAGACAAAACCCAAAGAAAGACTCAAGACCACCTGATTCTTGGGCCAAGGCAACATAGATGCTTCTGCATAATGATTAGATGGTGGTGATGGTGTGAGCATCAGAGCTGCCTGGGCCATGGTGTGGGCATCAGAGCTGCCTGATGGTGGCAGAGTTTTGGAAAGGACTCCAGTTTCCACCACTGCCTAGACTCTGAGTTTACTGCCATCATCATCCTCATCACCACCTCTAACACCACCACCACATTAGCACCCCACCATCAGCACCAATACTTCACCACCACCATCATTGTTGCCACACCACTATCACTCTCACCACCACCATCTGTTACCACCACCATCACTGTTACCACCACTGTCACCTTAATACCACCACCATCACAGTTACCACCTCCTCCACCATCAGCACTGATACTTCACTACCACCATTACTATCACCACCACCATCACTGTTAGCACCACCACCACCACCTTAACACCACCACCACCATCACTGCTACTTCACCACCACACCATTACTGCTGCCACCACCACCAGCATCACTGTCTCCATCAGCAGAGCAGAACAGAAGCAACACAGGAGTATTGTTGAGCAGGGATTTTACTATCTCTTTAAGGATCTGTTCAGAGATTGCATACATCTCTCCCATATGTTCATCATGGTGTTCTGTCTTGAGGTGTTGTAGGAATTCACAAATAACACACTAGGAAGGTGGTACTTGGGTATTGTAGAGCCCAGCTTGGGTTTCTATTCCTGCTTCCCTGGTTCCTGTCCAGGGTGATCACTTGCTCCACCCCACCCCCTGCCTCTGTGCCCTCCTCTGGGGTGAGAGTCATAGCAGCTCACCTCCAGGGCCTTTGCTAGCTTGATACCAGTTGGATCATCTGAAGCACACAGAAGTGTTTTCATCATGCTGTCCCCCACTCCTCCACCTACTCCCCCAAGGCCACTGGTGGATCTTGTCTCTCCATCCTGGTCACATCCCAGGTGAACGGCGGCCTCCACCAGTGGATGAGGCCACTTGAATTTCTAACAAACAGGGCTTGTTGCTCTCCTAGTGGACTGCACCTGTTTTCTGAATGTGCAGTGCTGAGTCACAGCATCAGTGGGCTGCCGTGTGCATGGTGGGGCTCGTACATGGCACACACTGCGTGTACAGGGGTCAAGAGGAGCCAGGATCCACATTCCTCTCTGCCAGCTGGCTGTGTGGCGGAGGGCAGGGCTGCACGCTGCTTGGCACGAAGGCCCACAGCGTGCTGAGATGCATGTTTGGGAGGGCTGCCCTTTCTACTTTGCATTTCTCATTCTAATTTCTGGAATGAGTGCTCATTTCTAATTCACATGAAGGCAGATGGAGCCCTGTTCCCTGGTTTTGTGTTATTCAGCCAGCTTTTGATTGGGAAGAAAGGCCTTCATTGGCTCTTTTCACTGAGAACCAGCAGCAAGCACTCGGATCCAGGGCCACGAGCCCATGCCAGCAGTCTCCCTTCCACATCACACACTGACTCTGTGTGTTGGCCCTGGTGTCTCTTCAGACAAGTGTGTGGGGAGGGGAGTTGTGGGGGACCCAGCACTGGCCACCCACCTCCCAGATGCCCCCATTCAGCATATGGAAACCTCAGTTCAGGACTCTTATGAGTGGGTGCTTGAGACAGGTGTGGCTCTGGAGGAGGGAGGTGTGCTGGGCCTCAGAAAAGGGATAGCTCATTCAGACCGGGGCTACTTGAGGGGCTTCTGGGACAAGGAGTGCTGGAAGGGGGTCCTTTTAGGAGGTAGTCACTGGGGAAGTGTGGAAATGATTCAGGTATGGGGACCCACTTTCTTTCTGTTTCCTTTCTCCTCCACAGGGCAGCACACTGAGGAAGCGCAAGATGTATGAGGAGTTCCTGAGCAAGGTTTCCATCCTGGGTCAGTGTCACACCCCCTGGTCCCCATGCGGCCAGCTGTCCCCAAGTGGCCTCCTCTGGTCTCTTCTGAGCACCACCTGATGGCCACCCCCAACCATTCCCACCTTTCCTGTCTGGCTGGCAGGTTCAGTGTTCTTGGTGTTATGCAGGTTTGGTAAACAAACACAGGTATGTACCCACGCAGGTGTGCACACACACGTGTGCACACACAACACAACCACACACTGACACACACCACATGTGTAGATACCACGTGGGTGTGTGCACAAGCATGTATGGACTTCATGCCTGCTCACATGCTTGCACACACAATGCACTGTTGGTAAAACTCAGAAGGCTGTGTCCACCCCTCCAGAGCACCAGGTATCTTTTCCTCAGGTGTCTGCTCTCCATCCTAGTGCTTTGCTGGTCCAGCACTACTTCCACCACAACACCATTCTCCCTACCTTCCCCTGTGTGGATGGGCTTTGAGCTACAAGTTCACCTTGGGTTCCAGTCAGTGTGACTAGCTGTGCTGAACTCCTTCCCGACCAGTTCTGGTTTTACTAAGCATGGTTTCTCCTGATGCCATCCCACCATTCTTATTCTGAGGTCTGATGTACACATTGGCTTTATATTGCTGCCAGGAATGCCCACACAGCTCTCCAGTCATAGTTTTTGGGTGCTATGAAATCGCTGGAATGATAGGACAATGCCATGTATTGTTCTAGGCCAGCCAAACCAGAACTTCCAGTGACTATGAAGATGCTCCACATCTGTGCTGAACATTTGCAAAGTGGCAAATGGGACCCAGGAGCTGAATTTTAATTTTATTTTATTTAACCAATTTAAATATGCCAAGATCCATATGGCCAGCGGCACCACATTGGATGAAGCTGCTTCTGACCATAGTAGGGTCACCTAACCCAGACAGGAAGTGACAGCTGAGTGGTCAGGAAGTGGAACCACTGGAAATCATCATCCAACCTTTTTTGCAGTATTAGACACAACCATAAAAACCCTTAGCCAGACTTCTGGGTCAAGATGGTGAGTAAGGCATTACCTCGTTTTCTCAGAACTTAATGAAGTGAAGAGAAAAAGATAGAGAGACGTCTGCACAACCTTGGGAATGAAAGGTGTTATCCCCTGGTGTTCATCTTCCCGGATGATGGCAGGAGATCAGAGTGGCATTGGGATGGCAGATCCCAGGCTGCTCCACATGTAGTTGGGACATTCCCTTTCTAGGTGAGGTGATCCTGGGAGACACTGTGAGTCTCAGCCTGGAGCAGCCTGAGTGTAGGTGAGCTCTCTCCATCCCAGCCCCTGGGCTCAGGTTACAGAGCTATGGAAAGTATTCACTGCCTGCCCTTCACACTGAATGCCAGAGAGAGGGGAAGAGATTCCCAGCCAAGTTGCCTTGTATAGCTTGAACTAGCCAGAAAGGATGAAAAAAAAAAAAAGATTTGGCCACTGTGCAACCCAGCCCCCGTGTAAGAACTAAAAGAAGCAAACGTAGATGGGAAAGAACCCAATCAGGAAGAAATCATAGCCAAAGAAACAGAAAACAAATTCCAATATAGAATTTACTAAGAACATGAATTCAGGAGAACAAGAACAGAAACCTGAAGAGAAAACAATGAAGTGAGATTAAAAATGAGATGGAAGAGCTAAGGAGACAGCCCAAGGACCCAAATCTGTGGGAGTTTAAGAGTTGTCGAAACAGAGTAGATGTAAAATCTAGCTCTTTACTTTGAGAGTTTTTTTTTTTTTTCAGAAGGGCATAAAGTAATGTGGCTATGGATGTTCACGCCAGCAATTCTTTTTTCCAATAAAAAAACTGAAAACAACCAAAAAATCTTATTAGAGACCCTGTATGTTTGCGTGCTGGAGTTTCTATAGTTATTAAAGTGAATAAACCAATTGCCACCTAGCTACACATTTCTCAGACACAGTAAATAGCTCACATAAGTAGTACATGTGCAGCATTTCGGCAACACTATACAGCCTTTGTGAAGTTACGGGCTGAGGCATCAGGTCACCCATGGGAGGGGAATCCCCCCATCTTTAATTAAAAACAGGGCTTTGCGTTTTGTTTTGTTTCACCACCAAGCCCTCAGGCCATAGCCATTAGGGAGAGGAATAATCAGGTATAAGGAACTTTGATTTTCTCAGTAATAATATATGCCTTTAAGGTGGATCTGAAGCAGGTATGACAGTCCTCAGATAGCTTGATTCAGTACAGATGTTGGTTATATTATTCCCTCTCCTTTTCTGATTTTTTCCCCCCCAAGTTAAAAAAGTTGGAGATGACTACAAATGGAATTAATGACATGGAGAAGTGTCAGGAGGTGCCGTGGAAGGCAGAGGGAAGGCACGGCAGACGCAGTCACTGTGGACCAGGCCTGATGTGGACAGGACAGAATCCTCACGGGAGGCTCCCCATGTTCCATACAGAGACCTGAGCCGGCAGGAGGCAGGAATGGGCTTCAAAACCAGGGACAGAGTCTCCTAACCTCTGGGGCACTGGGAAGCGGCAGCATGGGACCCTGAGGGCAGGGGCCTTGCAGGCCAGACCAGGTTCAAGTTGCTGAAAGCAAAGGTCACAGGAGTCGGGGACCCAGCACTTAACTGATGTCCAGCTCATAGAAGACAGATGAAATTCAGAGGAAATCAGGGCAGAGGATGTATTGTCCACAGGGGAGGCCTGCCATATAGCTTTACGCGTTTGTGAGCAGCACCTAAGAATGTAAGGAAACAGAAATTGTCGTGCCAGCTTAGTTCCATTTGGGGTGTAAATAAGCCTGACCTAAAACTCCAGTATCTACCATGTTAATTGAGCCATTTGAAATGGCCCAGTTTCCGCCCTTCAAGTCCAGTGTGCATGGAGGGAGCAGGCGGGATGGTGTCCCTCAGTGGGCCCTCAGGCCCATTCCCAGAATTGCTACCCCAAAGCTGCAGCTCATCTTCTTGGGTAGTCTCTCTGAGCCTAGTTCTTTCTGAATCCTTCCCTGAAATAAGAAGAAGTCGTGACTCTTAGTAAAATGTACACTGACCACTTTTAACCACGTTCACCCTGAGGGCATGAAGGACGTTCATGGTGTTGTGTATCCATTGCCAGCATCTGGTTCCAGAATTTTCTTATCACCCCATCCCCATGAACAGTCATGCCCTCTCTTCCTCCCTGGATCCCAGACTCCCACTCTGCTTCCTCTCTTTGCATTGTATCTGTTCAGAGCATTTCACATGAATAGAATCTTAACTTTCGTGACTAACTCTTTCTGGTATGTTCAAGTCTGCTGGTTAAAAGATCGTTAGCGATTTCATGAGTTAGTCCCCAAGGTTTTGCAGGGGCTGAAGGAAAGGATATTTTAGCTCCATGTCAAACCCCAAACCCTGGAATCTTTGTAGTCCTGTGCTGTCTCTTAATGTCTTCAAGCCAGAACAGGGGTGGGGTGGGGAGTGGTGAGGTCCTGGTACATGTGTCACCAGCACCCACTGGTCACTTTTCCAAATTTGTCACGTACCCAGCCAACCCAGATGAAGGACTCCAGTGCTGTCCCAAGTGACAGCTACACCTGGGAGGTAAGAAAGGTGTAGTAACCGCCATGGAACTAAGCAGATGAGGCTTCTCTGTGGAGTAGCAGAGTCCAGGCCAGAGGGCTGGCTGCTAGCATTGTGGCTTTGTGGCCCTGTCAGATACTTTTATAGCTCTGGTCAGCGCCTCTCTCAGGATCTCTTTCCCCCCAAGTGCCATCAGCTTCTCTATGGCCTTGGGAAGGAGGGACAGTCAGAGTGATCCCTTCATCCATTCAGTCACATTAGCTGCACAATGTCCTCCAAAAAAGGAGCCGTGTCTGGCCTTGGTAGGCAGGAGTCCTCTCTCACTCCTGGTGGAGTCTGTGACCTTGGCATGTCTTCCCCACCCCACCCCCAACCCCCACTTAAAACTTGGCAGTGGTCATTGTGTGTTTTATGCCTGACATTCTGGCTCTTCCTCATAAACCTGTAGGGCCAGCCCATGATGGGACACTGAGCTTGGTGGTGGTCCTGCTGCAGGACATCTGTGGCCAGGACAGGTAGGAGCCCTAGGTTCCACTCTCCAAGGTGTGTGTCGAAGACCCCCTTTCTCATGTTTACCTGTCTTACTTTGTCTTGTGTTCAGACTGCAAGCTGGCTTCTATAAGACGCTTTGGGGACCCTGGCTGAAATTTACCCTGCATCCTTTCTGTGGTGTAGAATAGGAAATCCCTCACAGCACACAGTTTATTACAGCGGAACCACCCACAGCGGGTTGCATGGAGCCGACCTTTGGCATCTGGTACTCAAGGGCACAGGAATTTGAATTGCAGTAAAAATGGCCCAAATGCTGCTGTGTTTCCTGAGTTGAAACCCATGTCAAGGATTTGCAGCATTTGAAAATCTGGGGCCAATAAGTTGCCATTTCCCTGAACACATCTCTCTTCAGATTTGTGTTGTCGGGGAATAACGTGCTTTCCAGACCTCAGAATAGTACCTATTTCCAACGTGTCAGGAAAAATCTGCTTATCAAATTTGTGGAGCTGAACTTTCTTGCTGCAGCAGGACTTGTGAAACCAAACACCTCTTATCACCCTTGTAAGGAAACCACTAGCAAACGCTGATGGTGATGTGCCAGGTTGGGCACTGGCCTAATCGCCTCCTAAACAAACCTGCAGTCTCACTCCTGGGTCACCTGTGCTATTTGCCAGCTCTGAGGTTGCCCGCTCTGCAGGTGAGGCTTCCCGCTGGGTGCTGAATTGGTGTGAGCAACTTTCGACTACAACTTAGAAGAAAGCTGGTGGGCAGCTGTGCTTGGGGCCACCTCCCTTTACCCAGAACTTGCTCAGCCTGGGGTGGCTCAAAAATGTGTCCTCTGCAGCATAGTGTCGACAGGAGCTTTAGAGGAGAGAAATCCCTTCTAACCTAGATCTGAAAGAATTGCTTTGCTTTATATTTTTAGCTGCTAACCTACATAAGCAGCATCTGATAAGTACAGGCCAGAGAAGTTCCTTTTGCCAACAAGAAATAATCAGGCAGCAATTATTTTCCTATAAAGGGAGCACATTTTTTCCCTTCCTGGGGTTAAGCATGAATAATGACAGGGAAGGGAAGGTGTGAGGAAGAATGAAGAGATACGTAGAATCTGGAAGCGTTTAAAGATACTGGGAACCGGAGTTAAGTATTTTGACCTAAAATAATGGCATGTACATTATGCCTTAATATTACAACAGAAATACAGTTCCATGTTCTTTGAACGGCAACAAAGGGTGTTTCTTTCGAACAGGTAATTGCTTGAACTACGCTGGGTGATTGTAAACCACTCCGTAGCCCTAGTGCTTCACTGTGATTCAGTGTTTTGTAGAATTTTAGAAGGTTCTATTATTTTGAAAAAAAGAAGCTATTTTCATACTAAGTTTCCTTAGACCGAATTTTCAGCGCCCATTATTTGTGTTAAACCGGTGATGTGTATCAAAACAGTGATCTGTTCAAACTGTCTCTACCTGCTGAGGCTTACTGTGTACTCCTGGGGCACAGCTTACCTGTACAGATACCTGCCCCCAGCACAGAAATATGCTTTGCAGTCGCAAAGCCTACTCATCATGGTGGTTGATGTGGAAGGAGGGGAGCACACCTCACCAAGGAGAGCGGACGTGCTCTGGGCTGGAGAGGAGGGCTTTGTCGTCTCCACAGTGAGGATCCCACTGTGACTGGTCCTTGTTCTTCCTGCTCTAGAGTCCCTGGAGAAGTGGGAGCGCCTGACAGTAGCTGACGCCCTGGAACCCGTCCAGTTTGAAGATGGGGAGAAAATCGTAGTTCAGGGAGAACCTGGGGATGACTTCTTCATCATCACAGAGGTGAGCCCTGCGTGTGCCGCACTCAGATGGGGTGCTGGTGGACTTGGGTGATATTCTGGAGCTCAGTGGGAGTTTAGGTAGGGCCCTGGGCTCTGCGAGACTGGGTTCAGGTAAGGTTCATGTGGGACTGAAGAAGCGGCAGGCCTTTGCATTGAGGTGAGGCTCTGGACTCAGGTGGGCATTGGGAACACAGATGGGGTTCAGGTAGGACACTCGGGCTTAGAGTTCAGGTAGGGCTCAGGGTGCCTGGGCAGGGGTGCTTGCTCGGGATGGGTGGGAAGGATGGCTGTCTGCGCCTTGGCGAGATGCGTTCTCCTCCTGCTGGAAAAGAGCGACCAGCGAGCCCGTGCATCCTCGGTCCCCCATGCCAGCCAGCTTTAGCGTGGAGCTATGTGGGGCCAGAGCCTCCCACCCCTGTGTCAATGTGTTTTTTCATCTTTGAGTTTGGAATTTTCTCTTAAAAATGGCTCAGGACCCCGTGACCCACATTTGGGATGAGGCTGCACTTGCAAGAGTTTCAGGTAGAGGTGAGACAGGCGCACAAGGTGGGTGAGTAGGCCCACGTCAACACCCCGGTGTGCTCTGTTCTCAGTCTTACAGCCCATTACCCTTGGGGAAAAGCATACATTCAGGGCACATGGGCTCTGTTGTTTTATTTTTCACAACTTCGTGCAAATTTGTAATGTTCTCAGATTAAAATTGAATTTTAAAAATGGTGCCAGACTTCTCAACCTGAACCCCTGAACTCTCAACCTGAGTCTCTTTGCGTTCAGGCCACACCTCCCCCCTCTCCAGGCAGGCGACAGCTGACTGCAGCCATAATCCATGGCCCGCACTGGAGCCATTGCTGATGGAGGCGCGCAGCTGTTGTGGCCAGCCCACCAGCCCCGGGGCTATGCCTCGGCTGATCCCCCAGAGAGAACCCCTGCCCCACAGCTGCCCAGGAATGGGTGAGTGACCGGTCTTGCTGGTATGGTCACCCTGCTGATGACACAGAGCCAGAACTATGTCACTGGTTGCTGGGCTTGCTTTCTCCTTCTCTGGTCCTCAAGTGGAAAGGATTTCACATGCTCATTAAAGCACATTCCTCAGCTCTGTGCTCGCCTTTGGAGGGGGAGCCCTGCAGTGTAGCAGAGTTTGGGGACTGCAGCCTGAAAGCTCGTCCTGGCCCAGAGCCATCAGCGCCAAAGTGGTCATTGTGCTGCTGCTGCCTTAGGAATATTGGAAAGAACCGAAGAGTACAAAGAGCTCAAACCCTGGTCGACATTTGACTCACACACCAAATTTGGGGTTCACTCTTTGGGTTTAAAACAACAACAGATGCAACAGTAAAACCACCCAGGGAGCGGATGTCAGTGAGAAATTCCAGAATTCTCTGTGCCTGTGAGCACTGTGACATGGGCCGTAAAGCATGGCTGTGTGGATAAGATCTCCAGATAGGAAACGTGAATTTCATCTGAGCTGAGTGTGGGGTTGGTGCAGAAGCTCTTTGCAGGAGGTGTCTGTTGACTCTCACTGTAGCCCACCTGCAGGGCAGATCTGCAAGGCCGTGGAGGTGAGCAGACAGAGGTGAGACCGATGGTCTTGAGTGCTGGGAAGGGTCTCCCAGTGCCCTCCTCACCCCAAGGTCACAGCGTGTACTTGGGGCTCTGGCCTCATTCTGCTTCCCTCTCCATCCCTACACCAAGCAGGCAGTGCTCAGCGTGCTGCTGAGTGAAAGGAGGAGTGCGTGAGTGGGGGAGTGCGTGAGTGAGGTGTTCTCCAACTGAGGTGTCCAGGAGGTTGCTGAATAGTCTGAAGAAACCCCCCTTGGCAGGAGTTCTCAGGCTGTCTGATTTGCCCTGGACGTGCTTTTTTTTTTTTTTTCTTATTTTATATTAGTGTACTTTTACATATTTTTGTGCATTTTTCCATCTTAGTTGCAATCCTCTTGGGATTGCAATGTTTCCTTTAAAAGAATAAAGGAAGGCCCTCTCTGGTGAAGCAAGGGGTTAAAGCACAGCACTATGAAGCTATCTCAGCCACTGCAGCATGAGTTCGATCCCCAGCCCCAGGGAGGTGACCAACCTGGTGCGGCAGACCTCTCCTGTCCTGTCCGCTGCTCCCCTCAGCAGTGTATTTCAGTAGATCTGCCTGTTCTACTCCCCACTCTGTCTCTGGTGAATCCTTTCACCCCTTGTACCTCTGGCCTCTATATGCATAAATAAATAAATCCTTTAAAAAAGCACACACACACACACAAAGGAACAAAGACCAAAATCATAGGCAGAAGAAAGTTTGGTCTGAGCAGCGCTACATGAGGTCTTGGCTCAACAGACTGGAGAGGGGAACGAACCTACATTTTCACCTCCTTGCCTTGCAGCCGTGACCCGAGAAGAGACCTTTCCAAACACTCATGCCCTGAACTTGCCCAGAAGCTGCAAGCTGCCAGAGGCCTGGGCTAGTTTAGGTAATTGCTCCTTGAGTCAAATCATCTTCAAGCCTCGATTTTGGAACTTTAAGGGAACGGTGGACCCACCCAGGCCCAGAACCCTGCCAGGCTGCTTTTAGCTGCTGCAAATGCTCGTCCGTTTTCTCCACGGAAGGGAATACAGAGTTGGCGCGCTCCCACCCCTGCCTCCCTCAGCCAGAGGCTGCCCTCATGACCCCTGAGGGTGTGAATACCTGCTGCTCTTCTAGATTTTATGCTCATTAATAAGAAAATGGTGCTCACTGGCCCTGTCTGACTGGGAGGTGAGTTTGTATTGGCTTGTGCAGAGTTTTTATTAATCATTTGAATTAATGATCCTTCTTTAAAAATCAGATTTCTCTTGAAGCATCTGAGCAGGAACTTTAGTTTCTCTTGAAAAATATAGTGTCTGGCTGCAGTTGACCTGTATTCACCTGGTGCCCCCGGGAGCTGAGAGTCCGGCACCTTTGCTCTGTTAGCTGCAGTCCTCACCCGGCTCTCTTGCCACTCTGGTCTCATTAGCTCCAGTCATGAGCGGAGGGGATGCCACCTCTGACGATGCAGTTAGTTGGCCGTCATTCTCTGGGCTAACTTCCCTCCCAGATGGTCCAAGGCTGTGGGTAGGAAAAAAATCATAAAAATGTGTGTGAAAAGCATGGATCAGCTAGGGACTCTCACAGAACACAGAGTAGTCACCAGCGATGTGATTCATCGTCAAAACTTAAGCTGGCATTCCGAGCTTAGGCTGTGCCAGGTGTTGTGGGAACTCTGACATCAGTGTAACCCAACCACGCCGTGAGGGAACCCTGCTCGGGCTCCTCTCTGGCTCTGTCCTGTGCTCTGTGCACACACGGTGTGTGTGTGGGGGGGGGGGCATGTATCCAAGTGTTTTGCATTTCTCTTCTTAGAGCTATTTCAGTTTGTCACAGATTTCTCCATGGCCCTCTCCCTTTGGGTGGTGGTGGGGATCTGACCCTGTCGTGTTTTGCCCAGTCTGGGCCCAGATGTTGCTGTTGCTCTTCCATGAAGACTGTCAGAAACATTTGTCACGATTGTTGTTGAGGGTGTACCTGCACCTAGGCTGCCGCTTTGTGTTGTGAACAGCCAGTTCCCCTGCAGAACCACCAACAGATGGTGTTGAGGGTGGGGCTTGGGGGGGAGAGGTGGGGGGCAGTGACTGCCCTTAGCCAAGTGCTTCTCATGCCTGCTGCGCAGAAAGCCTTCAGAAGGTTCTTCAGAGAATAATTCTTCAAGTGATTTTGACACTGTGGCAGGGACATCCTCCCCCTATTGATGGAATATATGTGCTGGTTGGGGGTTGGGGAACCAGAGAGTGGGGTTGGGGCCGATCCACATAAACTTAGTATTGTACAGGCCTCTGGAATGTAACCCAACCCTCTCGGAAGGTATAGTTTTCACAGTGTTGTAAAATGTATTTGAAGTGGTCTCCTTGGCAACTTGAATTCTTTTCCCTTTTCCTCTGTGATCAACCAAATTTGGTAAGTCGCACTGGGACCCCAGGGTTCACGGGAATCAGACACTCTCAGAATGAAATGCAACCTAAGAGACTTGCAGCTTCAACTGCTATTTTCCCACATGGTCAGAAGCCATCCGCGGCCCGCAGCCCACTCCCTCCTGGTGCTCGGCAAGCTTCCTGACACCCCAAGGTCTCCTCCATGGTTCTGGGTAGGCAAGCAAGGCAGGAGTTGGCTGTCTTTGGTTCAGGAAGGGCCTGAACATCGGTGGCCCGGCTGGTGCGTCTGAATGGGGAAGTGGGGCCTGTTGATTCCGCTCAGGGGTCAGATGGAGAAGTCAGCTACAGGAATGTTGTGTAGTTTTTTAAGGGTAGAATTTCCCCCGCCAAGGAATGTCCCATTGATGTGTGCTGCTGAGTGAAAACCCTAGTGACGACTAGGTCGACAGTTTAGTGGGAGGGGAGTGCGCGTGGCATGGGGAGAAGAATACACAGTGATCTCGGTTCTTTTGAAAGACTTTTCAAGACGTATTCTGGTCTGACTGCTCCCCTTGGAGCTGTTTTAATGGGCTAGTTGAACATTTCTATGTTTAATGCATTCCTTACCCCTAGTTCTTATGATGCTCATGGATTCAATGCTACAGTAAAATACAGTGGAGACAGCCCATGTGGCAGGACCACAGTGCCTAGCATTTGGTCGAACGCCAGTCTAGATGTTTCCCTGAAGGTATTTTCAGATGTGATTAACAGTTCTATCAATTTGAGTACAGCAGATGCCCCTTCATGACATGGTTATTCTTCATCCTGTCAGTTGAAGGTTTTTGTTAAGAAACAAAAGACCCAGGACCCCTGAGGAAGGGGGTTTGCCCGTAGATGGATGGCCTCTGGACTCTCCCCTGCCCCCACCCGATAGATTTTGGACTGGCTGCCCCCACAATCATGAGCAGCGGTTCCTTAATATAAATTTCTCTTTCTATATGTACCTAATGGTTCGGTTCCTTGGAAGATTCCCGCGAATACACCTGCTTTCTGACTCATCCTGGACGGCCAGGTATCTAGCAAGGGAGTGTGAGGTCA